AAAACTGTTATTTTCAAAGGTCAGCTGCTCAAAACGTGACTGCAGCTCATCAGTCACAAATTCTCAGAATTATATATTTTCCTGTAACCTTGAGTCAAGTCCGAGTTGCCAACCTGTCTATATTGGTCACTGTCCACTGATACTTTACCCTTTATTTATCCAGGCAGTCTCATTGAGCCACGATAACTCATTTTCAAAGGAGACCTGTTTATGGAGCAGATGGTGGTTAAGGGCCTTGCTCAGGGACCCAGAGTGGGGTGAATGAGGGTGGAGGGAGGTGTGGGTGTTCCACCTTTTCCACCCACATTTTTTTTTATGTTGACAGTACCGGGAGGTGAACCTGCGACTTTCCGATCACAAGCCCATCTTCTAACCTCTGTGTCACCACTTCCCGCCTTTCCTTCAAGAAAAGTATCTCTTCATAAATCTAAGACAACTTTTAGCAATAAACGACACTGAAAACTTAAAAACTTGATACTGAAACAGAATTTAAGCAGAAATGTTTTTCAGCCACAACCATATGAGACGTTTTATGCAGCCGATGATAAAGCAGACTGAATATATACTTTTTTGAAACTTGTATGTGTTACTCATTCAAAATCAATAGGGTTTTGTAAATGTAATTTAGGAAAAAGTTATGGATGTTAATCAGTAACTAATGTTAAATTGATATATGTGAGTTAGTTGTTTGGTCTCCTCAAGAGAGGAGCCTGCAGGCGCACGGAGGAGCGCTGATAACTCCAAGGCCTCGTCGTCGTCTGTAAGCTGGAAAGCCGAGGTCGTCTTGACCTCACCTCCGTCTAATAACGTGTATTAAAAGCTTTTCCTGCCCCTCTGTCCAGCGCAGAGTTTCACTGACGATGTAACTTGTGCACATCTGTGAAAGCTTCCTCGTGACGCCTACCCTTGCAAGTAAAGACTGGTTTAAAAATCGTCTCGTGTCCTCAGAGTGGCTTATTTGAGTAAAGAGATGATGAGGATATTTATTTTATCCAACAGGTTTCGGCACAGCATACTTCTTATGTTTGCATTGAGTACAGGTATGTGTTAAGTGTAAAGTACTATCGCTACATTTAGGTGACAAAAAACTAACAAAATCAACCGTTCATACAATACACGTTTCCAGTTGCAGAAAAGCCCTCCCCGGATTTGGAAACCTTCCTCTCAATGAAATCAGGAGTGCTCGATTATAACAACCTTTACGACTGGGCCGGTACCTTTCACGTCTGCACTGCATGTGCTTATAAACGTGTATTAAAGTTGTAACGTCTTTAAAACCCCATAGATGACGTTCCTCAAACTTGGTGAGAAACATGCTTTAAAAGTGTGGAATCAAAGTAAGAAAATCAGTTGAAATGTTGCTCTTTTGTACGTTATTCACCGTTAAACAGGGGCCATACGCAACAGTGCATGCACAATTACAATCCAGCCATAAAGGTTGTAATCGAGCCCTCTGGATTTGTAAGGTTTCTGAATCCAGGGATGGTTTTACCACAGTATTTTCCACTGCAAATAAAATAAAACAAACACACACAATGTTGCAAATCCTTGCTATTTGTATTATGCCTAAACTTTTCTATAATTTGCCCAAATGAACTAAGTGCTATAAGTAAAATGATCTTCACTTTAGGATTTTGGCATTAAGGACAACGATTTCTGAGAAATAAGCATGCCTGCAGCTAAGTATGAAATCACAAGCAACTGTTTCAGAACTAGTATTTTTAGCGTGGGGGAAAAAAAAAATCACTTGTCTGTTTGTGTTTTTGTGATCCATTAAAGAACCTCCATGCGAATCATTGTATTTAATTAAAAGGGAATATTTGAAGGGGAAAAAAGGCTGTTCCCAGTTTTGCATTCTCATGTACCTGATAAAAAATCAACACACGCACCTTTGTGTTTTGTTTGACAAGAGTAAAAAGATGACCTCATAGTCGTACATTCAAAAGTTGTGTTCATCAAAAAACGACGTGTGGCATAAAAAAATAAACTAAAGTGCACAATCTATGATCCACACTAAGGCAGGAACAAGAAAAAACACAACAATTATTGAAACAAAGCACCAGAGCTTACTTTTTCTAGGAAAAATGCTGTCACCCAAACCTCTGACTAAAATCACCGACATAAACACTAGACGGATGCATTCACAGCCCGAGGGGGGAAATATACAAAGAACATACGAGTTGTGGTTTTGTGGCGTCCCTGCTTTCTTGTCATACAAAAACTTGGAATTTTGATCCTTGTAAAGTCCCCAAGGGAGTATGAGTCATCATTGTTAACACGCTCACACACCTCTTGCAAAAAGCGCTTGCTGACTGTCATCTGAGCTATAAATAGCTTCCAGGATAGATTAAGGAAAAGCAGTGGAAGAGAACGGGCTCCTGAGCCGCACAGTATTTCCAGTGGACTGTTGTATTTATCTGTTGCTCAGGCATCAGTAAAAGATCAAACGTCACAACAAAAAAGGCATTGAAAAAACAACCTCAACCCCCATGTTGCCTAGGATACTGGAGCAGAGCTGAATGGAGGAGGAAGGGATGATGGTTTCAGTGGGAACAGAAGAGGGATCTGACAGAATAATAAGCTTACTTTCAGCTATTCCCTCCCTTCAAACAGCTCCCCATCTCTCTCTGACAGCCATATTTAACACTTCTATCTTAAGTTTACTGTCAATAATTTCCACCAACAGTTCAGTTATTTGATACTTTTAATTCAGCGAATAGAGTTTAGTCAATTATTTAAATAGCCAAAATAGTGCACTAGTCACATCCAATTAGGCTGGCATTTTTATTTGTTTGCTTCTTCCTGTGCCGCTCGTCTCTGCATCTATAGTCACCTCTGCACAAAAACAGGTGAATACAGCAGCCATTCAGGACAAAACATTAAAAACAGTCATCTAAGCTCAGATCAACTTGAACTGTAGCAGCATAAATGTGTTTAATACTAAACTCCTAGCATTCCTTAAAGGAATGCATATCTCCTATCATATTTCCTACTTGAATTTTAGACCAAGGTCATCTTATGATGAGAGGAAATGGTGCTATAGCCAAACCTTAAAAGTACCGTTTACCATGATGGCGCAGGTTTAGGACCCAGGCTGCAAATTGCACCCAACAGTATATATAAAAAAAAAAAAACAGTTTTATTAACAAAAATATAAAATAAAGTGCTGACAGGGCAGCCAGGAGACTTACAAAATCTCAAAAGGCTCAGAAATAATGCAAGGTCGCATGGAGGCATGGAGGCTCATTGGATGTCATTGGGGTGCCATCCAATGATGTTCAGTGAAAGACTGAGGACACAACAGAAAGACACAGAATATAAAGGAACACCAAGAAGGCAGAATGATGGACACCTGGGGAGAGACAACAAAACCAGGTAAGAGTAGGCAGGGATGGAGCAGGGAACCGACAGAGGAGAACTGCAGTGAACTGATAACAGGTAAACACACGTAACAGAACTCAGTCATAAACATAAAGCATACGCTACAGAGGAAAATACATCTACTAAACTCAAAACAAACCTCCAAAGTAACCAGAATGCACAGCTCATGACACCGTTATGTGCAATTACATGCAATACAGCAAGACGTCAGCTCAGAGCATAGGTGTCAGAAACATTTGTAATATGGGAGGGTCTGGGGTCCTCCCCCATCACATTTTGCGTAAAGTAGATGCCATTTCCTGCATTCTGGTGTATTTTAACGGGATAAACGTTGACCTGCATAAGTAAACACTTGATTCAATAACTAGGAGAGCATAGCACAACACCCCCCCCCCCCCCCCCCCCCCAGTCAACAGCTGCCTGCACTAACATATTACTAAGCTAACGGCGCACAATACAGATACACTAGCTAAGATGCTACAGACCTAGCGCTCCGCTTCTCTCATGCATCCTAACCCCCACCCCACATCCCGGTCAACAACTGCCCGCACTAATGTGGTGCTGCGCTACCATGCAGCATAGAGGTGTCTCCCCCTCCTCCCCCCGCCCCATCAAGTGACCACGGAGAAACAATGCATGTGGTGTAGCAAGTTGTTGTAGGTAACCAGCAAAACCCGGAGTGGATTTTTACTGGTTTGAGTATTCTCCTATTAATTAAGTGGGATGGATTTGTTCATGAAGAAATTGAAACAGCTCTGGGCGAACCAATATTTCATGGTAAATGTGGTGGTGGGGGGTCCAAACAAATATTTTTACATGTGAGGGGGACACATCCCCTTCACCCCTTCACGTTGCAACACCTATGGCTCAGAGTGAGTGTTATAAATGACTCACTGCTACTACAACACCACTTTTAGCTCAGTGTCTGTTGAAATGACTGAATTAATGTCAGTTTGTATTTTCAAAGGTCAGCTGGCAGTAGGTACCTCCATAACTTTACTTGGTTTCAAAAGTTTTTCAATTATTAATAATTAATAATTATTTAACCCAATGCATACATTTTGGAACTCATTAAAAATCTATACAGTAATATTCATAAGATATTTTGCTAACTTAACAGGGTTGACTCTATTAGTTAACAACAAATGTTCAAATAAAGATCTTGAGCCTGCTGTCAGCTCTGCTACTCCCAAAACAATTTTTAGCTCATCATCTGTAAAACTGACTACATTACAACCATTTAGTTGGCTGTGACAGCCATCTTGAAATGTGTTGCTCTAGATGTAGACGTGCTTCTGATGACGTGCTGCTAGTAAGCCTTTCAGTGGAAGGCAATGAATATAAAAATTATTACCACAAAGTCTGTCACGGAGGCAGATTTAGCAGGTTGGGTAAACTAACAATGGTTTGCAAGTAATAAGTTCTGCCAGTGGGAGTGTCCTGTGGACCAGAAATGAGCAGAGCTGTTGATAACCAGAATATTTTTCAACACATGCAGCCTGTTTTAGCTACAATAAAATGATGAATCTCAGCACATGTTCAGGTGTTAGGAACTACATGCTCCATGAAAAATGGCAACATATTTATGCACTTAGAGAACCTCGTTGGGGCCAGCTTACCCTTATATCTGGGCCGTTGCAGTTGAGACTTCTCCCTCGCTCGTCAGTGATCTCTGTGATCTCTGACAGGTCGTCATCCTCAAACTCATCCAGACTAATATCATGCGTCAACCTGGAGGAGGAGGAGTGGGACAAGGGTGAGCAGGGGAGCAACAAAAATAAAATCACTTAGCACTTGTTGATAACCAAATTATAATTTTGTTCAATAATCCACTTTCAAAATTATGTAATTTAGCCAAAAATTACTTTTTTTCAACATTTGAAATTTCCAGAAAACGACTGTAACTGTTTCTAAAAAAAAAAGGCTTTTTTAGAAAACATTATTGAGAAAATAGTTCTAATTATTACAATTAGAAAACGTTATGAACACACACTTGATGTTTTAGTGGATAATGAGAAAAGAGAAATGATTATATAATTGTTTTAATATTGACTTGTAGATGTTAGTTTGTTACAGTGTTCCACTGAAGCTGGTGTTCCTTCTGAACAAAGTCGTTGTGTGGCTGTCCGCCTGATCAGTATTCAGTCTGAAAGTTAAAGTCCCAGTGGACGAAAACATTCAGCAGCTTCAGGACAACTATGCTCCCTTAGCAATACGACAGTCCTTTTTGTATTCTTTCATCGTGTTCAGGGATTATGATGGACTTGTAACTTGCCCAGGTTGCACCCCGCCCCTCGATGCATTCCCCGTGACCCAGAAATGAGAAGCAGTTGAAGACACTGGATAGATGTGTTCAGAGATGGATCATGTTACGACTGATAGGTACTAACAATTTATAAATATATAACAGAATATTACATCAAAATGGCTAAACTATCTCTTAAAAGTGACACCTCCTGCTGGTAAATATTTTATCCACTTTTTAGGATGGAAACTCCTCCACTTTGTCCACTTCTTCCCTGGTTGTAGCCTGGCTGACTGAAGAGGAATGCTCCCATATACTGTATTTAGTTTATAAACAGTAACACAAACTAGTTAGGGTTTTGAATCACATTTTACCTGATTTTTTTTTATGTGTACATATAAAAAAAAAGTGTATATAATTTTCTTTTATCAAGAACTTGTGTACCATTTTACAATAAGGCTCCCCTTATAAATGGCTAATAAACAGTTTATAGATACATTATTAATTCCTCTATAAATACTTTATAATTCATTAATTACTGCTTATTATGCATTAATTAATGTTGACAGAGACAAACTGACCAGTTTTTGAGCCAAATCTGTTCACTTATATATTTCATCTAGAGTTGTTATAGTAAACATTTCAGACTCAAAAAGGTTTGTAAGCTCAATCATCCAGGTAAATAACAACAAAAATGGTTAAATCATGTCATCTGGACTTGTTTCGAGTGAAGAAATGTTTCGTCCCCCATCCAGAGGACTTTGTCAGTCTGCGGCCTATCAACCAGATCTGTCCCATAAGTAGTCTTCATTGCTGTGTTTTAAGCCAACCTCCTGTTGGAATCTCACGAGCAGGCTTTTAACATGTGCAAACAGACCCATCTGAAACTGTCAATCATTATTAACAGCAGTCAAGTGTTTTAGGCCAGATGGCCAACTTGCTACTCACAGAAACAGACACTTGTAAACCTATTTCTTTATCATATAATATTGTATCACAGCATTATAAGTATCTACAACTAATGTATCTTAAAAAAAAAGGTTTACAAATGCTTATTGTGCTAACAAGGTAGTAACTTAGTCTGAAATGTTTAATATAACAACTCTAAATGAAATGTATAAGTAAACAGATTTGTCTCACTATTTGGCAAGAAACTGGTCAGTTTTGTCTGTCACCCTTAACTAATGCATAATAAGCAGTTATTAATGATTTATAAGGTGACTATAGAGGAATTAATAACATATCTATAAACTATTTATTAACCATCTATAAGGAGAGCCTTATTGTAAAGTGGTACCAACAATATACATTTTTTATTGATAACTATGATTGATGAGGAAAATATAACATTTATTCATGGGTTTTTAACCAGCACTAAAAATAATGAAACACTGAGAAAAAACAAAAACAAAACAAAACAAAAACAAACAAACAAACAAAAAATGTAGCACCATCTGAAGTGTTTGTCTTGACATACTTGTTCTTCTTTGTGTGGCTGGCTGTTAGCTCGTTAGGGGTTGCCACTGAAAGATATATTTTTGATTAATTCAAATGTTTGGTTTGACAACAGTGTTTTTTTGCCAGATGCCCAATCTGACAAACCATCACTATTTATGGCTTGGGACAGGCATGAGAGACACACTTGCTTGTGCTCTTTAGTGACAGTTATTCTTCTTTTCTTTTATGTCCCCACTAACTTTAAGTTGGGAAACTTTAGTTTGGACTTCCCACAAATTTACAAAAAGCTGAATAAATGGTTTACAACAGTGAGCAATGTCTGCATTAATAAGTTTTAAGTTGGTCAAGGGCCCAGAGTGGGGGAAATGAGGGTGGAGGCAGTTGTGGGCACTTCACCTTTATCAACCATATTTTGATAGTATGGTCAGCAGGGGGATTTGAACCAACCATTCAATCACAGGTTCACTTCTCCAGCCTCTGCGCCACCACTCCATCTGTATTGTCAATATTATCTAATACACAAAATTAAGAGAAAACTGGACTAAAGGGAAAAAAAAACATACCTGGAACAGATTGCACAGGCTAGCCACACCTTTGCCATTTTATTGTGAATGTAAATTTCAGGTGTTGACAGACAACTGAGGCTTTACAAGAACAAAAATATGAGCGAACCACAAAGGGTGAATAAGAGGATGACACAGTTATGTGACAATCCAACTCAAAGAAAAAGACAAACTGACCACAGTTTTCACTCTGCTACTGTCTTTACTTACTCTGCTCAACCTGATTTGTATTTGTAATTATTTTTTCTATCCCTAACATGTGTTTTTGTCTTTCAGATCCACCTGGACCTATACCTGGACCTACCATTCTGTGTTCGTCTGTCTCTCCTTCCTGTCCTCTCAACCAGAAGGTCAAAGCAGATGGCCGCTTGTCCTGAGCCTGGTTCTGCTGGAGGTTTCTTCCTGTTAAAAGGGAGTTTTTCTTTCCACTGTTGTCACTGTGCTTGCTCAGGATGGGAGACTGCAACGAAGCCAAGATTCATCTTGTCTGCTGGATTCCTTAGATAGAGAACTTTACTAATTGGCTTTTATGTTTGTGAATGTTCCTGTAAAGTGCCCTGAGACAACTTTGTTGTGATTTGGCGCTATAGAAATAAACTGAATTGAATCAAACTTGTTATTCACCAAGTCCTCTTTGAGTGTTTTGTTTGTCTGTTTTTGGCTCAAAGTTCTGATGTGACTCAGATATGTTACGTGCCTGAGGCACATTATTCTTATTATTTGTCCTTGGGACATATTTTGGGTTCATTAACCGGCCCTTAATTGTTTTAAGACATGGCGTGTTCCACCTGCCCATAAACAGAATGGCCTTCAGGAGCTTCTCTCCCTCTCTCTCTCAGCTCTCTCTTTGTGCTCACCTTCGTTTTGTCTGCTCTCTGGCCTCCCTTGTTTTGTTTTGGGCTCTGTTTCCCTCTCGCTCATCCTGTCCAGGATGAGTCTCGACAATGTGGGCTGCATCAGCCATCCTCAGCCTGACAAGGTAGTTTTTTTGTTAACTTTTGTCCTTTTTTATAATAATTTTGGCCTGGTGGGACTGGTGGTCCTGTTTTTGTTCTTTCTTTTGAACTAGGCTCTTTTTGTATATTTTTGTAGTTTTAGTCCAGTACCAGAAGTGGCTTAGACGGCCCTGTACAGGGTTGGGACAGGAAATGTACTGTTTTGTTCTGTTTGATCGGCTCACCGGGTTCATCTTTCACTTCAATACTTTGGGTTTGTGTGAGTCTTTTTAGGTGGACACGGGAATTGAGGGTCCATACTACTTTTATTTTTTTGCGGGAAGGAGAAGCTTTTAATAAATTGAATGTTTGAATCTTCCTGTTTGCATCACGTTTTGATATGATGTGTTCTTGGTGGACATAACAGATGGCATTAGCACTTAAAATATTTGTTCATTAAACAGCTGGACACATAAAGTCACTGTATAATAATTATATGCATTGTTGAATTATTTAATTATAAATAGATCATTTATTGAAAGCATTGTATTGTCTTCAAGTAAGTTTTATTTAGACTTAAATATTGTGAGCACTTGTGTTGGAAGGTTAACCCATGAAGGTCCCTTTAAATTTTTGATGATTTGTGTTATTTAGGGGGAACATTTCTCACCTTAAGTACCTGTGTAAATTGTTATTTTTAAAATGTGTTTCCCACAATAAAAAAGTCAGTCTTTTAGAGCTATCACAGCCAGAAATAAAAAAGTCCGGTTTATATTACTTTAAAATATGTTTAACTCTTTAAAGGTCTTTAGTTTAAAAAAAAAAACAGCAACAACACACACACACACACATACAAACATTCACATTTCACTTAATTAAAAAAATTAATAAATATTTTTTATAGTGCAATTTTTGTAAAAATATAAAAATTCATAAAATAAAATAAAAATTATAAAGACATTTTCCCCCATTAGTACACCCTACATGTTTTTGTGATTTTTATTTAATTGTATTCCAGTCTTATTTATTAATTTGTGAAGTCCTGTGAAGACCCTCCAGCCCACCGGACCCTCTCGATCAAGCAGCCAAAACTGGGGCCTTGTTTTCAATCAAACCTGCTCCTGTCGCTCCCTCTGTGTTCTGACATGGAGGTTTTTCTTTTTTGTTATATTATTTTCTTTTTTAATTTCTAAACCTCCGCATTGACAACACAAGTTATTGCTTAGTTATTTTTTTTTAATTGACCCAGATTAGCAGTTGCTGCAGCCCTGAGCATCCACTATTTACATCCTGCCTTGGGTGAAGTCAACAGTAAACCATTCCCAGCCATGGGGAATCTGATACTTCAGCCTACAGGAATGTGAAACTGCTTCTTTTAAACTACAAGTGTATTTGTGCAACATGCAAGTGTTGTTGCTCTACATCCAAACTAAAACAATTTTGTCAGATGAGAGGAGAGGCAGAACTCTGCAGCATCCTCTAGCTGAGAAACATGTACCTCTTCTGGGGTAAGTTGAAGTTTCAAACTTT